AGTATCATGGTCAAACACATAGTACCCAGAAAAAAGTCTTATTAGGTACGATGGGCACCTTTGTGTCGAACACATATTCAACTCGTTTTTACCATAACAACAACCACAAAAGGTACAGTCAATCCAAATAATTCGGTCCAGTCAACTTATTCATTTCCATCATACATTTCAATGATAAATTCAAAATTGTATTCAACCGAGAGAAACATATAGAACAGGAATATAAAACAACTTGATCACATTTGTCAACTAAATTAACATGGCTTTTAATTAATTTAGCTCCCACTATTTTCACATACTCTACGACCCCTTCAGAAGAGTACGGACTCATATCAAATATAGTCACAGTGAGCCAAGATCCACATCCATCCTATTATAGTCCCAGCTAGGGATGTTCACTATAATGGATGTAGTAGTAGGTCTCTAAACCAATTGTAAACAATTACCACTCTTGGTTTTAGATTTGATCGACGTCCTTAGATCATTCCGACGCTAGGGCGACAAGAATTAGCTAAGTGAGCCAAAACCATCACACGATCACAAACATATATATCTATGAATGAGTCTGAGCCTCGTAGACCTAAGCAAACACTAGGGTGTAAATACTTTTGGACGAAGAGGGTTTTGCACTCATTTAATTGTGATGGGTGACGTCATGCATCCAAGATGAGACTCATATTTATTAGGGAAACATTTTGAACGGGGTATTAAATATCTAATATTCAAACAAGATCCAACTAATAACACATATCGGGCGCCGCCTACCCAAGCATAATATAATGCAGTCCGACAAATACTGGGCGCCGCCTACCCAGACATAATATCACGCGCTCCGATAAATACTGGGCGTCGCCTACCCAGACAATATAATCGCAAACGCTAACTAAAATAAAATAAACTATTTAATTTATTTCAACTAGACAAATAAGAGCAAATAATCCAATTATCATGCATTTATAATATTCCAAACCATAAGATAAGTAAGTAATCTAATTACTAATGTATGTATTCAAAATACTATAAGTAAGTAATATAATTACCCATGCATTTATGTAGTTCTAAACATACATAACAATGATGTATTCAAAATACATAAGCCAAGTAAATTGATGGATCAAAATAATGTGCTAAAATGTTCATCAAAATTTCTAAAATTTTGATTTGTTAAACAAGCTCATCAAAATTTCTAAAATTTTGAATTATTAAACAAGCTCGAAGCTTCGTTTTGTTCATTAAATATTTAAGAGTCGTTGGACAACGATTTTAGTTTGAAATATATCCCAAGGGCTAATTTCAATTTTAGGGTTTTTTTCAGAAATTTAAAACAAGCAAAAATACTTATTATTTTAACGTTTTCAAAATTCTGAAATTTAGAAACAGCCCAACAGACCTTAACATTTTTCAGAATTTCAAACAGACCAATGTCATTTTTAAAAATTACAAACAGGCCCCAAAGACCAAATTGTAGGTTTTAAATCTTTTCGAATTTGCAGTTGACCCCAAGGGTCAAATAGCAATAAATGAAAATTTCTAAAATAGCAAATCAACCCCTAACATATGTCAAATTTTCGAAAACAGGCCCTGCAACTATCAAACCCTTTTCCGGCCCCGCTCTTCAATCCTCCGCCATCGTCACTCGACCTCCCGCCGGCCACTCATTTCCAGGAACTAGGGGTGGGAAAAAAAACTGAATTTTCCGATCCCGAACCGGACCGAAATGGTCCCATTCCCAAAAATAGGGGTTCCAATTGGTTTTTAAAATTATCGTACCGTTCCCGGTACCGAACCGGTTGAAACAATGTCGGTGTCAGTTTTTAATATTTTTTTCTCGAACCGTCCCGTTTGTCCCGTTTTATTTTTTTTGTAATTATATATATATATATATATATTATACATTATTTATATTTATATTACATTGTTAGTGTTTCTGTTACAAAAATATTATATATATATATATTATACATTATTTATATTTATGTTACATTGTCAGTGTTTCTGTTTCTGTAACTCTGTTTCAATTCAGTTAACAGATTTTGTATTTTATTAATGAAACCCCAATTCACTATTCAGTCTTAACATGACCCAAAAAATAAAAAAAATTAAACAATAAACATAATTAGTTAATTTTGAAGTATGTACTCTTTGGCTTTGCATGGATTAGAATCAGACTATCAGTAGCTTTTTTTCTGAATGCAGATTGCAAAATGCTTCATTGCAACTTAATAAGTTGATTGCAACTTTGAATGGAATCAAAGTAGTTTTATTTNTTTTTTTTTTTTGTGAAATCCGCCATTAATGACGGACTCACAGCTCAAAGATCGATTTCGGAGCCCGACGACGCGGCGATTAACGTCTGTTTGCTCCCAGAGCAAGCGTCCATCACGGATCGCGGGTCAGGCGACGAGGGCAATCAACAGCCGCACGACGAAGACCGCCTAGCGGGCAGCAGCGGCAGCGACCCTTGGCCGCGCGACCTCCGGCGACCACCCTCAAAGGTGCTATCGTCGGCAGCGGTTCAATTCGCCGTCAGCGGGTCAGAAGAACAGAGATGGCGATTGTTACGGGATTCCAAAATCCCAGGCAGGTTCGAACAAACCAAAACACGATTCCAATATCATAACGAAAATTAATTCCAAATCAATTTTCTTAAGTTTTATTTAATTGTAATTAAAACCAATAGGCACCGTGTACGGGAATTCCAATTCCCAGATTTTGCAAACACTAATTCCTAGAATTTTGTATGCAGATCGAACAAAAATGATTCCAAGTCGTTTTCTTAATTTTATTTGCAGGTTTGAATCCACGATTCAAAATCAATTCTCTTAATTTTAATTTAATTATAATTAAAAAAAATTTAATTATAAATTAAAATAATACATTATTAGTAGATTTTGATCCAATTAAATCAAATAACTATGAACACCGACCCGGTGCTCTGATACCACTGTTGGATTTCAACGTACGAATCAATCGCACGCGCAGCGGAATTTTAAAATTTTCTTACCAACAACGAAGATCCGGCTATAGCTATTCGATATAATCCTAGATCGCATGAATAAGTAACGAAAACTTACAGTTTAAGCTTTGTCTTCAACTATGGTATCCACGCAATCTAGATCCCGTTGCACGATCCAACGCAATGAATCCTTTCCGGTGAAGACGCTAGGAATCCTCAATCAGAAAGCAATAGAGTGTTATGTTTTTACGGCGTATCTCTTTTCTCTCATCTAATTATCGTTCAAAATTGCAATGAGATAATGACCTATTTATAATTAGGTCAAACCTAGTTATATGGGCTTTAGGAATCCTATAGCTCATTAAGTAATTGGACCTAATCCAATTAATGATTTAATTAAATATAAGTTCAATTTAACTTAATTAATTATTTTCTATCTAACAAAAATTAATTTCATTACTCAAAAATAAATATTACAATCTAATTGAATGTTTAACACTCTCGATTCACTCTTAGCCGGAAAATTGATTGCATATTGTGTGACCCTATTAGCCTTCATATATTGACATAAATCTAATTTATGATCCTTACGGAACTCCTAGACTGCGTCGAAGGACGAACTCAAAATATGAAGTACGTTTACATAGACAAAGCAAAGAAATCTTTAGTGTAGAATTCAATAGTGATACGGTCCCTTCATTCACGAACCACTTGATTAAGCTTAGGACTTGAACGTGTGTCTATCCAAACAGCTTAATCATTTTATCTCATCTCACAGGTTGATTTTATCAATTATATTTGAACATCATTTCAAATATAATCACGTGCATTGGCCAATGACTTTATCAACCCAGTATAGAGAAAACGAGTGTTCTCTCGAACCCATATTCGAGGAATAAATCCTATCTTAGCTCAAATACCAATTCCATGTATATCGTGACCAACCCAACACAAGCCCGTATCTACCCAATAAGGGCGTAAGCTTTGGACTAGGTCTAAGTAAATCACTATATACATGAATTGCGTATTGACCTCAAGTCAAAAGACTATTGCACCATTCCACACACCGATACTCCCATAGAAACATAAACAAATGGTTTATCGGTAGGGTATACCAATACTCTTCAAAGTATCCATGTGTCCATCACGAATAACAATTATTCATAGCAGTGAGACATACTATATTCTCCAAGAACGTGATGCAGACCACATGTCAATTTGTCGCGTATCATTAATATCTCTTTCTTAATGATCATCGATTGAGGCGATTTGAGAGTTATACTTTATCAATTAATATTTCACTCTATTAATAACTGTATTAACTCAAGGGAGCAATTAATTAATAAATTGCAAACAACCAAATAATTATTTAATTAATTGCGATACCATAATTATAATCCAATATAATTATTAATGTGATCATGTATATATGTCCTCAAAAGGATGGTCTCTAGGACACATATACCAACAGAGGACCCCTCTTTGTTGAATCCGATGTTCATTTTAAAAACTTGGTCACATGTCTGAGTATTTGTCTCTTTTACTTTTCATTTGGGGAAAGAACTATTTCACTATCATTTCTTGTCACCACTCCTCTTTTTAGAGATGTGGTCCTTGTTTACCTCACATGTCACACTAATTTCGGTTGGAGAATCTTTCTTTTGTTAGTCCTTGCTTGTGTGACTTTCATTCTGTCTTTGGGGCTTCTCCGGTCAACTTTTGGGTGGAAACTTTTTTTAAATTCGAGCTTCTTTTGATTAGAACTCTAGACATACATGATTTTCATGTTGTCCAAAATGTTCATATTGCAGTATTTCTTGAGAGTTTCTCTACCCCCAACAATTTGTTTTCTAAAAGTAGACTTCCCTTTTTTTAAAATAAATCTTCTACGAAACTTGTAGTTTTTTTAATCATGGTGTTTAACATGAATAATCTATTCAGTTAATTCTAAAAGAATCTGAATATGAACTTGACTTTGTCCGTTTATGTGAGACAGACCTAGACACCCCATGCTCTCCTTGTTGATATTTGTTATTTTGTTAAGGTTGAGACTAGTGGGGTTTCTTCATTCGTTTGTGATTGATTCTTTTAGTGACACTTTCATTTAGTCTATGAAACGTACCATAATGGAAGTCTTTATATACTCCTTGTTGGTTCTGTAGTTGCACTGATAAATAAAGCTCTAAAATATTTTCTCTTTTAAGGCTTTCATTAGTATGCTAACATTCATGCATGGACCTGTTGAATGCACTTTGTTGAAGTCTTGATTTATGTGAAGGTTGATGTCGTAATATAAATTGTTGCAACTGGTCCAAAATTATACCACTCTTGACATCTTGTGTATGGGAATTTAGTATCATCCACACTGGTATTTTTGAATAATATCAGCTTGTATTTTTCTTTTGTATTAACCTCTTATTGTATTCAACTTCTCCCATGCATGTTGATTTACCTTCCAAGTAGAAATTTTTGAAATGTTAATATAAGCTTATCATCAGCCTAAGACTAATATCTTCCCTTTTGTTCTATTGCATTTTTTTTATATTATAATTGTTATGAAATTAAAATTTAGAGGAAATTGCTTATGAGTTGTGACAATTGATACCATGATAATGCAAGTTTCAATATAGTGCTAGACGGAGGGAGCTTATGTCTGAGTAATTCTCAAAGAAGAACCGTCTACATCCAGCTTGTATCGAGTTCGAGTTTACCGGTGGACGAGGATATCCCTACCAGAGCCGGTCACTAGGCAGGTGTTGGAGAAAAAATCGAAGTCTGGCGGCGACGTGAAATCAAAGAAGATCAACTCCACTAGAGGGAGGCAACGTCGGGGAGCGGTTGATCCGGCAGTCAATTTTTACAGAGTCGGGGCCCATTTTATCCTCCTTTTCACTGTCGCTGGTCGAGCATTCGAGTCCCCTCGGCAAGACACAAATGAAGACATACTGTGAGCAACACCCAAATCCCAAAAGAAAAACCTAATCGCTCTGAGGCAAAGAGCTAGCTACCACCTCTGATGATGATCCCGAATATTCATTTGAAAAATAAATCGAGGTTCTTTTAGTTAGGCTAAACCTACATACTGTAAGAGGCATGTGACTAGAGTTGTCAAAACGGGTCGGCGGGGACGGCCGGTCCGGCCCGTAACCCACCCCTGCTACGGGCCGCGAGTTCGGCGGGCCAGACACGCCTATTTATTTTTTTTTAATTAACTTGGGTTTTGATTGGGCCTGCAACCTGCTAAGTTGGGTTGGCTTGGGCTTGCAGGTAGCGGCCAGATTGTTAAAAAATTAAAAAAACCTGCTTAAAAAAACTTGTTGGCCCTGTGAACTGAACTTAAAAAAAACAACATGCTTATGATTTATGAACATAGAAAACTTGCTGCAAACATTAAAAAAATGCCTAAAAACTTAGAAAAAAGTACCAAAATAATAATCATAATAAAAATACCAAAAGCATCACAAACCAAAAACATCATTCCACCATTATCACAAACTAAAAGCATCAATCCAAGTTCCCTATCACAATTCAAAAATTAAACATTACAAGTTCATCAATCATTTTAATTCCAAAATCATTAAATAAAGAAAACAACTTGAATCCAAAGATGTAAACTTCCCAAGTACTCATCATTCGAACATGAACAAATTAAAAGATCATCAACTATTACATTATTAGAAACCTTGTTCCCTTCTCCATTATCTTCATCACCATCTTCAAGGATAGTTGGACAATGTGATGCTCCACTTGATGAAGTTTTTGTGTAAGCACGTACATCATTATCTACAAAAGAAATACATAAAATATAGTTAAAGAAAGATACAAATTTAAACCAAACGAAAGTAGCTTAGCAATCAACTTACCAACAACATAACCATGTAATCAATAATGAGTGCAAATAAGGGCTTGGATTTTTTCGAGGAGGATGCAACTTCTATATTTGGTAAGCACACGAACACCAATAGGAAAAGCCGACTCCAATGTAACAATGGTGATGGGGTTGGCCAACTGATGAGGATGTGGTCATCGACCCATCCGAGCCCGAGGATGAGACGCGCTCGAGTCAGGGGAAGTGGCGCGAAAAAGGTCGGGACGACTACCGGGGCCATGCAAAGGAGGTTTGCGAACGTGCGCGAGGGGAGGATGTTGGGTGGTTAGCGCGCACCGCGACTGGCCACGGAAGAGCAGTGGGGACCAACGTGCGGGCTATGCGCGAGATGGTCCGACGACAGGGACGCAAACACGCACCTTGGCGTAGGCATGTATGGTCGAGACCCGGGAAGCCGACAGGGTCATGTGGTATGAAGGGTCACAGCCAAATGGGCCGAACATGAAGGTCGGGTGGTCGACACTCGGATGATCGACACTCGCGAGCTCGAATGGGCCTGTCACGTGGTCGGCACTCGTTAGGTCAATCAGGCAACAAGACGGACAGATGGATGGTGCTCGCGGAGTCGAGGACGCGCATGGTCGAGGTGTCGAGCAGATCGAGGCATGAGCAGATCGAAGCTAGTTGGGTCGAGCACTGCCAAGGTGCGAGGAACGAGGCTATGCACGGACAGCCACTAAGCCTCGTTGGACAAGGATTAGACAATGGGGTCAGGTGCGGCAACGAGCACGAGGCAGCCGCGAGGCACAAGGACGCGCGCAACACGCGTGACGGGGAAACACGTGTGAGAATGGCGGTGCGACCTTAGTCCTCGAGGACTAAGGCAAGGCGCGCGGGACCAAAGGCGGTGAGTTTAGTAATTAGGGTTCCCTACTTGGAGTGCAAGACAAGATCTCCAAGGATCCTTTAGATATTTAGTATGATTCCTAGATTGTTTAGGACTTTAATATTTTATTGCTTTAATTAGTGATTTAGTTGCATTAGGATTAGATATATTCCATCTATTAGAGTTATAGGAAGATTAGGACTAGATCTATTTGGTGCCTATATAAAGGCCTTTCCTCTTGTTATTTTGGATCATGCAGAAATTAATGAAAAAGTCGAACCTTGTGTTCAAATTCTTGTGTTAGATTTCTTTTGAGATTTAGTACAAAACCCTTGTCACGAGAAGGGCGTTCCACCGCATTGCTCGAGAAAGACGAGTTTGGCAAGGACTCACATCCGAGCTGTCTCACCTATCGCGAGAAGATAAGAAGATTAACCTCCGAGTCGTCCGCAACCCTCACCGAAGATCGAGTTCACGCAACATCCGAGGCTAGGTCACGAGTCGGAACACTCGATTCTTCATCACCAACATATCACGCGCCATCAATGCAAGTGTCGAGAATCAATTCTTACAATTTTTTCAATATTCTAAAACATGAAAATCCTCATAAATTGAAAATTCAAGTTCCCGAAGAGACGAAATTTGAATATTCCAGCACTTGTAACACTTTGGCTCTAAAAAGCCACAATTTCCTACATCAAACAAAATTTTTCATTTAATATTAAGAGTCATTTATTAACTTTGTAGGCTACAAAGATAAAAAAAATATTAACAATAAAACCACAAAAGATCATTAAATACTTACTTAAAAAATTCTTTTTCCCTTGGATTTTAATCCCGATCCACTTTGCAAAGTAGATGTTGTAGACGGGGGCGGAGAAGGTTGTGCTTGTGAAGAATGTGAGCCGGTAGCATTCACATGATGCTCAAAATATTAATATAACTTTGCCTTCACACGTGAGAGCCTCTTCACATTTTATCTGATCGTGCTCAACTTTCTTATAAAAATACTACAACATTTGAAGTTTAATACTCGGGTCAAGAATAGCCCCAAATGCAAGTACCTCTCTATATTGGGCCCAATACTTATCAAACTTACCCCACATATTTAAGCACATGTTTCTTATATGCTCATCCTCATTTAAAACATTATCAATCAATAAACTTTGAATTCACCAAACTTGCATAAAATACAAGTTCGAAGTAGGATAAAAAGAACTGGATATCAAATTGGTTGTTTCATAAAAAGGATCAAGGAACTCACAAATTATTTCTGCTCTCGTCCATTCTTCACTTGAAGGGCAAAATTTGTAGTTCCTACCATGCAATTGAAAGAAACAAAAGTCCTTTTGTACTTGATAGCACTCTCTAACATTAATAAGTCGAGTTCCAACGAGTACTTACATCAAGTCTTAAGCCGATACTCGTATGCACTGCTCACCTGGTCAATCCTATAAATTGTGCCTTCAGTTCAAGTTTCAACCAGGCCATCCGAGGGCCATAGCTCGACCTGTTGGTGTTTCTTCGATCCTCTGACATCCTCATCGACCTGAGGACTCTTCGACTTGTAGTGCCTTCGGTCTCTGTTTGACCTACCGACTTACCCGATCTAATTAGATTGTTTTTCGGGTCAAGTTGACCCGATATGGTATCCTATGTCAGGTCGTGTTTTAAAACATGGAATAATGCACTCAAATCAACAATAAATACGATATGAAGGTATTTCCCAAAGACACATTACTTGAGCTTTATGATTCTAACAGTGATGGCATTTTGTGGAATGAAAATATTTCTTAGAAACGCATTGCCAGAGCTTTATTATTCTAACAGTGGTGGCACTTTGGTTCCGACATTAAGCTGCTTATTTACAATCTTTTTGTAAAATCTTTATCTTAACTGTTGATTTTTTTGGAAAAAACAAAATAAAATCAAGTGTTTGACATCTGATTTATATTACTAATTTTGTTTATGTATGACTTAGCATATTTGACAAAAATATCTTATGAGGTATGGTGTCATCAACTTTTATGCAAATTCTTGCGGTTACGGTACAGATATTTGGATTTCCCATTCTTTTTTTCTTCCATATATCATTGATTCACTTTTTCTCTCTTCTTTTTATTATCTAGCATTTTTGTTTTTTGAATATATTGTAATCTTCTTAATTATTTTAAATCGACTATCCAGAGTCGTGGCTAATCGGGTGGTTAGGTGTTTTATTTGTGTTATTGGTTGCAAACTTCTTCAGAATATGTTGGTCAGGGCCGGCCCTGGCCCAGAGAAATGCCAGGGCCCAATTCAAAAAGGGGGCTCATTTGTTTAATTTTTAATATGTTTAGTTTGTAGGCTCAATAAATACAATTAACTCAAATATGTAAGGGCCCAATTCAAAAAAAGGCCTCTATTATTTAATGTGACATGTTTAATTTTTAGGCCCAATACTTACAATTATCTTAATTTCATATTCCATGCACTAAATGATTATTATTTAATGTGTAACATGTTTAATTTGTAGGCCCAATACATACAATTAGCTAAATTTCATATTTCATGTACTAAATGCTTATTGTATAAAGCCACTAAAATAATACAAATATTGCATGCTTTTTCACAAATATTAGAGAACTTCATTAACAGTAATTAAAGTATTCTACGAAACTTTACTGAAATTTTAAATCAAAACCAACCAAGTCCAATTCAATTCACTCTTTATTTTTTAATCCTATTCCATTCCTTTTTTCTTATTGATTTAAGTATTATAATCACTATTTATGCTAATCAATTAATATCTCAGCAAATAAAAAAGGCATTTAACTAGGTAATAAAGTTTAAAATAGTATGAATTTTAATTCAATAAAAATGTAATAAAATAATAGGAGACTAAAATTGTTCCACCAAATTATAAGGATTTAAATAAATAAATGAAATATTCTACTTATATATAATTATATAATTTTATGTAAAATAATGATGTCATACTTATAATGAGGTCCATTTAAAATTGCTTATTAACATCTTGCATCTAAATAACTTTAGTTTGGTAGGACAATTTTATATATAAAGAAAAATCGAGTTTATCTCATAAATGTTATATCATGCATTATTTCCATAATCACACGTTGCAAGGTTTTATCCTTAAATTATAATATTAACTCTACGTACTTACTAAAATCTGATTATGCGACTTGAGATCTGTATAAGTTTCATAATTGTGAACGAAAAAAGAAGGACAC